ATGTCCTCTGCAGCCCCATCGAGGCTTAGCGCAGACCTTTCAAGCTGCGATATAACTCCGTTATCAAACTATGCAGGGGTAGATGTTGCTGGAGATGCTGCTCAGTCGCTCTCACAGCACAGGACCATGAACACATAAAGAGGTGCTAAAGGGATGGCAGTGACCATTTTGGTCCCTCCAGTAAACCTGCACATGCTGAGAGACAAAAATGTGCTCCTTGTACAACATTGCTCCATGTAGCTTTCTTTTCCTGGGATCCGGTTTCACCTGTGCTAAATATACATAGCTCCATTTCTACAAAGAGTCGCACTGTTGGAAACTACTAGCACGCACAGGTTTAAAATCATATAAATATGTCCAATGTTTAAAAATTACTTTCCTTCTCTATGCTTTTCTAAAGCTCTCACTATTTTCAGATCCTCTGCACAATTTTGAGATATGGTCTATACAGGCCATCATTAAGAATTAAATCTGTCTCTCTTCTTAGGATAAGCATGAAGCAACTGTCACAGCAATTAAGTTAGAAGGTCAAATTCAGAGCTTCCCTCAAAACTGCCGCAAGCTCACTTCCTCGGTATTTCTACTTTGTACGTGTTATTGCCACTAATACTCGCTCCGGAATCAAAACTGGGCAAACATGTGGAGTGGCTACTGCCAGGTTGAAGAATATGTATAGATTTGTGGGTTATTTCCAGATCCCATAGTACTGACTTGTATTTGCACGTGAAGCCCTCCCTGGAAGCGAGTTTCCTCGGATGCAGTTATACATCTGGGTCAATGAGAGCGGGTACACTTATTAAAAGCTTGCCACTTAATAAAAGAGGTTTGTGAAAGCTGTGCAGAGCCAAGAAATTGTTCAGTGTTATCTTGCGGTATTTTCTAGAGAAGTTATGAACATACTTGAGCTATCTAACACTGCTTAGATCATCTTCCTGTTGGAAATTACTCAGGCAATCGTATCATAAAACCTTCACTTAAAGCATTATCTACAGCTTTTTGCCTCACGCTCTATAAAGATAACTAAAAGTAAATAGTTATTGTCACACGTCAGATGTTATCCCACAGCACACATTTCTCACCAGCACACATTGTGTTTAATTGCAGGGCTAAAGCTTTTCCTTTTCCTCTCTTCTTCTTAATATATTTTGCATACTTATGTAATGCTTTAATAAGCAACCTTTCCTTCTACTGTAAAAACACGAGACAGAAAAGATGACAGAAAAATAAAAGGGGAAATGCATATAATTTCTGTCATCTTCTAAACGGAGAGCATTTTCATTAAAACCGACAGGCTGTCAGCTGTGACAAAGCCAAAGTGTTGAGCGTTCTGCCTTCTGTACTTCAAAAAGAGTTTAGAAATGCACCAGGATGGGGATCGACAAGCTCTTATTGCCCTGTTGATCTAGGGGAGTGCTTTCTTCTTGAGGCGCATTTAATTTAATCGCTCTTGCTTTGCTGTAACAAAGTCTAATTTTTTTGACTCACCTACTTAATATGCGAAATAAGGAGGTATTTTTTTTAAATGGAACACCCTTTCAGATAAACTGAAGCTCTTTGTTTGTTTGGCTGTTAGCAGGTTTCAAGGAAGGAAGACAGAGAAGCCTTCTTCACAACAATTAAAAAGAACACTGTCAAAATATAGTTCATAATTCCCATTTATTATTCCTCCTCAGTAGTGTTTGTATTAATGCCTTGAAAACTTGATTATAATAATTTCAGCACCTGATTTTCAGAGACATTGAAAGCTTACATCTTTTTTAGCTTTCAATGCTTGGTGCCTTTGAAAACCTGGTCCAATA